AACATTTGGGTTGAAAGCACTTTCGCACTTTGCCTTTTTTAAGTTGATTTTCATCCATTAACGTTTGCACTGAAGACCAACTTTGAGATACGTGTACTTTTCTGCAGACTGTTCCTGGCTCTGTAACGGTGTTCACTCTGCAGTACCAGAGTTAATCCAGTGGGAACCAGTCACACCCTGGGCCCCAAGGACTAGGAATGTTTCTGGCTCAGCAGGGAAAGGCTCTAACAATGCCAGTGCTGGGGATTACACTCACACTCAGGGCAGGCGGCACACTGACACTGGCACAATGTGAGGTCTGGTTAGGGTTACACATGCTGCCTCTCTTTTTCTCTCAAACTTCATTTTGAAACTGCAACTACAATTTCCAGCTTGTTAACAGTTGAGCTCACTGTCCGGTGATTTTCCTGAGATGAATAATAATTTTAAAACTATTGACAAAGACTAATTAGATTTCATGATTTAAACCCTGAAGTATGTGATCATTTTAGAAATCAGATTTTAATGACGGCCTCACATTGACCTAATCAGGCCAATCATGGAAGTTTGATTACAGATGAATGGTTTTATGTTTGTGTGTGTGTGTGTGTGTGTCAGACTTTATTTCCCCCTCTTTTCATTCCATCAGCCAGTCTTTGTCTATACAAACAATCAGAAATATAGCAGGAGATACCAGAAAAACATTGATATGGGGATTCGTGCTTGCAGTCTGTGGTGTTGACAGTGGACTCAGCTAAGACCTGAGGCACTAAGACAAACACAGGATGTCACACCCCACATCACAATAATCACTTCAGCTTCCAGTTTTGTTGAAACAACAATAACACTGTTGGTTTTTTAATGTTTGCCTTTTACAGCCTGCTCCGTAGATTGATTGTTCACAGCTACGCCGTTTTATTTCACTTTTGAATGGGATGAATACACGATACTGTCTGTTACCCATGGATAAATCAAAGTTTCTAATGTCATCTGAAGCTCATAGATTGACCAATAAGTGCACCATAGTCTTTGCACTGCGCCATCTAACCTGCAGTTAGCATCTGGGCTAGCTAGCGCTGAGATTAAAATAGAAAAATGGAGTTCAAAAGAGACAATAATAATAATAATTCAAGATGTAATCAGCCTTTTTAGTGGTCAACTGAATTTTCAGATGCAGTTTAATTTTATTTTGTTTTGTTTGCCCTTAATTTGGTCTTTATGTCACTGTAGCTAAACTGAAATAATTCCTTTACAAGAGAAATAAATGGACTGTTAAATAGTCCTAATTGTTTGGTTTTGGTTTTTTTTTTTTTTTGGTCTAGTTAGGCCTACACATTTTTTTTTTTTTGTCTAGTTAGGCCTACAAGAGTATTTATTATTTTCAAAACAAAAATAAGGTCTTTGTGAAAGTCGTTTCTTTCCTAATTAGGAAACAAGAAACACATTTAGTTCATTATATCAGTATCAATGTTGAGGAAATAAATATCGATCGGTAACAACTTGGCTTTACTGCATCTCTAGTCTTCTCCTGGAGTAGCTGACAGTGAGTGGGATTTTGTAGCTTCATACCTTGACCTTAATGACCCCGACCTCCTGACTGATTGTTCTCAGATTTCACAGTAACTCTAGACAACAAAACCAAAAAAAGGGTTTGAACGTTCTCCTGTAAACGGAGAACACCTCGTAGACCACGGAGAATAAACTCTTCCCTTGACTCTTGACGTTCTGCAGAGAGCAGACCTTCTCTGCTTCACAGTAACGCACTGAATTCTGGGGTATGAATAGACAGTGCGTGCTGGCTGACTGCCAGCGCTAGGAATCTTTTCAAGCACAAAGAAAAGTGTGTCAGTGCAGAGTCAAGAGGATCTGGCTTGTATGGCCGAGGGCTTAGCATGTAGCTTAGGAACTGCACTGAGCGCTAAAAAAGTAGAGTGCATGTAGTGGGATTATTGTGTATGTGTGTCATTGTGTTGATGCCCCTGTGTGTGTGTGTGTCGGGGCTATTAGAGCAGTGTTAGTAAGTAGGACTGTCAGCTATTGTTTCCATGATGGTTCAGTGGAATTTTCTGTTCTGTGCTCATGTCTGGGGTTTAAAAAAAAAAAAAAAAAAAACAGACACAGTGATTAATGCTGATTTTGTTCTTCTTCAACTGAGTCACAGTTTTAAACTACGAGACTGTCTCAGACCAGAGGGTTTTTTTTTTATTTTCGGTTTTTGAATCCTACTGAGAGCCACCATTCTCACGACAGCAGTGATGTAATCTTGTAAGATACAAGATAAGATATTCTAATGTATTCTACGGTGCGGTTTTGGCACAACTCCCGTTAGACATTGACGTCTAACGATATAAAAAAAACCACCTCACATACAAAGAGCATGTAGCAATTAACAAGAGATTAACAAGATAATTTTATGTATTTATACCGCAATAAATGATCTTTGACGTTGGAAAACACGTTGTCAAAGATCGACGTGTTAAGTACTAATGCTATTTTCGCTAATGATCCGCTGACTTCAGACTGACTTCAGACTGACTTCAGACTGACTTCTGACTGACTTCTGACTTGCAGCTACTGTACTAGCCTGTACTGTTCTTCTTAACCATTTTACAAAAACAAGAAAAATAAAATTGAAAATACAGACAGGACATTGTTCCTACTGTTTCGTACGCCATTATTTATTTTTTGGTTTCCTTGTGTGATTGAACTTTTCTGGACAGACACCACGGGGGCCAGACTAAGGCCGGTCTCCCAGATTCAGCCACCAGTTGATGATTACTGCCAAGAAGGAACTTTTTTGGCATATTTCGCAGAGCTCCAGCTGAAGTTCTGTAAACTTATATTACTTAAAACTACACCCGAATCCTTTAGCGTTATGTGCATCATCAACACAAGATGTTTTTTTCTGTGTTTACTCTGGTTATTGTCTCTCTGGCAAAATGCTAACAAGACTTGGCTAATTGAAAAGTAATTTGAAAAGGTCTTTTATTGGTTTGTCAACTCTCTGGCAAAATGCTAACAAGACTTGAAATAATAATAATAATTGAAAAGTAAGTTGAAAAGGTCTTTTATTGGTTTGTCATAGTTTAAAGACCAAATCAACAAAAGGGTAAATATTGGAGCGCCTGTTTCCACAACAATCGATTTGGAAAACAGATAGAACTTCAACAACAATAACTTGTAGTAATCCCTCATCGATATCAACACAAGGACAGAGCAGTTGTTGCTATTTTTCCCCCCAAAAAAGGTCGAAATAAACATCTCATGGCAATGACTCTTCATCCTATTTGTCAAAGTATAAAAACCGACGGCCATAAAGTTATTTATGCCCGCACGGAGCATCATCTTTATTTGAGAAAGAAATGAAATCCTTTTCCCTCAGACTCCCAGGAGGAACTGATATGTCAGGCCTCCTCCTCCTGTTCATTTCAATATACCACCTGAGTAAACCTGAAAATGTCTGCGTGAGGTGGAGTTGCAGTGGTCAGTTAAACTCTTCCATGATCATATTGTCCCTTTTTTCATATGCTGAAGCGCACTTGTTAATTCCCGCCGTTAGCAGCAGCAGCCATTTGTTGTGCTCGAGTTCTCGGAATTTTGTGGAGAGAAACAATTTACAAGAGTGAGCAACAGCAAATTGCCATCGCCCTCATGCAACTGGTCTCTATCTGTTTTTACAAAGTATGTGTGTGGCTTGTTTTGTTTTTAAAATCTGCAGAGTTTGGATGTAAAAAGAATAAATTCTTTATTCTCCAAGTCATTTCATTCGGAACATTTTCTCAATCTCTCTGGAGCCTCAGAAGCTAATTGTCAAAGAGCATGTAGCTTTGAATGTACAGTATGTTGCACTGCACGATACTTTTAAAATATTTTTTAATATCTTCATTGTCAGGATCTCCTTTTTCCCAGGATTATTTAGTAATATTCATTGGAAATTAAGACACAAAGCACAAAAAGACCCAATTAGTAGGCTTAGTAGATTAAAAAAAAAACCTTGCTTTTTATTATGAGTAGATTAAAAAAAAAACCTTGCTTTTAATAAGATATATTCATACAGTATATGTATATACAAATATATATGCATATATTTATATACACATATATACATGTGTACAAGTATTTGTATGTATATGAATATGCAAATAGGTACATTTCTATGGTATATTTCTATGTACATATATATTTCTATGTACTTATATGTACATATATATTTCTATGTACATACATATGTATATATATACTTATATGTACATATATGCATACAGGCAAACAGTTCTTTTCATTTAATTTCCGTTCTTACCAAACTTTGTTTAATTACAATCCACAACTTCAACCAAGATCTGTTTTCTTTCTGCTCGTGATTATAGGCCATTTATTTTCAAAAAAAGAAATTCAAATGTTTTCACTTGAAAAAACAAAGAGGGATATGTTTTCTTTAAAGTATGAAGTTAGGTGAACGTTAAGTAGAAGATGTCACTGCTGTAGGCAGTAACTTTAAACGCTGGGCTCAGTCTCTCCACCGTAATTATAGACAGTTGACCCTGATGTGGGATCAGACGCAGTCTCTGATGTTGCAGCTGTCTCTCAGTTTATTTGAAAAGAAAACACATCAAGTCTTTCTTACACTTGTGATGGTTGTTGTATAATCACTTATAGACTGATGTTGATGAAAGCAGTAATTAGGATGAAAAGTTGATGATTTAAGTTTCGAAATACTGATCTAAAATAAGTCGTAATTCTCCGTGGAGCTGAGGTGAGCGGGGGGGTGGCACTTCTCTCTGATACTCGTTGTACTTTGATTCTTTGATAGTACATACAGGCTTGTGATCACTGTTAATATGGAAAAGGGTCAAATGCAGCATTCATCTCCAAAAGTGGAGTATTTTCGTCAGGAGTGCGTCATGAGGTCAGATAATTCTGGATGTTATCAGACGCAAGGGGTTAAGAGTGAAAAAGAACGTAACGCTTTTGATTTATTGCACCCTGCGTTAAACATTTTTTCTTTTTTTGCATGTCTTCAGCTCACAGTCAAGCTGTTCAGGTGTGTGAACTTGTGACTGTCCACAAGGCTGAAGAAGATTGGACCAGAAGACGCAAGAAAAAAGCCAAGCAGGTCGCTGAGCTGTACCCTCATGCATTCACAGGTAAAGAAAAAAAAATCTTCACTGAACACAAGCTAACTTTTAGTGTATTTCATCATTTGTATGTTTTTTCAACCAATACAGATAATAATCAGGCTCTCAGGGTCGATACAGATGGTACAACAGATACATTTAGTTATTTATCTGTTATCTATTTAGTCTATTTAGTTCTATTATAAAATTTTCGGCTGCACTATTATAACATGTCAAATAAGACACAGCTTGTTTGCGTTGACGACGTCTTGAATGATTTATGAAATGTGTGAAACTAGTAGATGTTTTTTTGTCCACTGCAAAAGTTCTGTAAATTGGAACAGTCGCAGCGACATTCATAAAAAAACATCCAGTCTGACAAGGACTCGTTAGCTCTAGTTAGCTGTTCAGTTTAGCCCATATGCTGTGGCACAGAACTATGACATAAGAGAGATTTAGCCCATATGCTGTGGCACAGAACTGTGACATAAGAGAGGAGGAGGAGGAGGAGGAGCCCAGAGACTGTCTGCTCAGAGAGGAAACCATGCACATTGATTGGTCAATCCATCAGCTAACAGCATCAACCAATAGAAACGTTTGAATTACGGCTGACAATCTATGGCTAACCGCTAACTCATGCATCCTTACTTCTAGCCGTCTTCAGTGTTTGCACACACAGCCCAGCTGGGTGGGTCAACGTTGGTCGCCCGCCAGCGACTCAGAAGCTGCAGCTTAATGTGGAGCCATTAGATTATATTCAAACAGGATGGGAATTACATTAATCATCACAGCCAACAGTTGAAAACAAAATGACCTAATCACGTTAATGTGAGCGTTTCTTGGCATCGCAGCCGCTCGACTTTGACACAGCCGCATCTGTGCAAACTTGGCCTCCGAGCCGCGTCCCATCACTTACGTCCTGATTATGTTACTTATCGCAGGCTGATTTTTGTCTCACTAACTCGAGCGCCTGTACCTCCCTGTAAGTACGGGATTCTCGAGTGCTTAACGCGGGAACATTTGGCCCCTAATTAGATATATCAGCCGTGTTCCACTAAATGTTAGGTGACTCTACTGTGTCATTACTTTTCATATGAATATATTCAAATCCTAGTTACACTTACCTGACCTCTCTTTCTTACCCCGAGCTTTTATTTCCTATTCATTATCCTTTGGTCAGAGACGGCCGAGAAGAAGTGAGGAGTCTTCAGAAATAACAAGTCTGCACATTAAGAACAAAAAGAGAAAGTGTGGTGCCTCATTAGTGGTATAAAAGGACTTGGCCCTAGAGTTCAGAAAAAAAAAACTTTCAGTGACTCATAATTGTGATAGACAAATATGAATACAACACAATTTACAGGCAATATTTAACACTTTATCTTCAAACTCCTGGCTGTGAATTATTTTGTTTTGCATCTCTTTTTTTTCTAACACACACACTTCTTCTTCTGTTGTTTTGTTTCTCCACAGTCTCGTACGTTAGGAGGACGCAGCAGCACCGGTGGCGCTGCGCCGACGTGACTTTCCGGTGCACCAGTCTGGCACTGTGTGAGCGCTGGATCCACGTTATCAACGAGCGGCTGTCACTACTCTGTACGTACTGTTCAGTTTAGCCCATATGCTGTGGCACAGAACTGTGACATAAGAGAGGAGGAGGAGGAGGAGGAGCCCAGAGACTGTCTGCTCAGAGAGGAAACCATGCACATTGATTGGTCAATCCATCAGCTAACAGCATCAACCAATAGAAACGTTTGAATTACGGCTGACAATCTATGGCTAACCGCTAACTCATGCATCCTTACTTCTAGCCGTCTTCAGTGTTTGCACACACAGCCCAGCTGGGTGGGTCAACGTTGGTCGCCCGCCAGCGACTCAGAAGCTGCAGCTTAATGTGGAGCCATTAGATTATATTCAAACAGGATGGGAATTACATTAATCATCACAGCCAACAGTTGAAAACAAAATGACCTAATCACGTTAATGTGAGCGTTTCTTGGCATCGCAGCCGCTCGACTTTGACACAGCCGCATCTGTGCAAACTTGGCCTCCGAGCCGCGTCCCATCACTTACGTCCTGATTATGTTACTTATCGCAGGCTGATTTTTGTCTCACTAACTCGAGCGCCTGTACCTCCCTGTAAGTACGGGATTCTCGAGTGCTTAACGCGGGAACATTTGGCCCCTAATTAGAATATATCAGCCGTGTTCCACTAAATGTTAGGTGACTCTACTGTGTCATTACTTTTCATATGAATATATTCAAATCCTAGTTACACTTACCTGACCTCTCTTTCTTGTCCCGAGCTTTTATTTCCTACTCATTATCCTTTGGTCAGAGACGGCCGAGAAGACGTGAGGAGTCTTCAGAAATAGCAAGTCTGCACATTAAGAACAAAAAGAGAAAGTGTGGTGCCTCATTAGTGGTATAAAAGGACTTGGCCCTAGAGTTCAGAAAAAAAAAACTTTCAGTGACTCATAATTGTGATAGACAAATATGAATACAACACAATTTACAGGCAATATTTAACACTTTATCTTCAAACTCCTGGCTGTGAATTATTTTGTTTTGCATCTCTTTTTTTTCTAACACACACACTTCTTCTTCTGTTGTTTTGTTTCTCCACAGTCTCGTACGTTAGGAGGACGCAGCAGCACCGGTGGCGCTGCGCCGACGTGACTTTCCGGTGCACCAGTCTGGCACTGTGTGAGCGCTGGATCCACGTTATCAACGAGCGGCTGTCACTACTCTGTACGTATCACTTCAACATGTTGGGTTTTTTGTTTTTTTGTTTTTTTAACTACAGCACATTTTATGACACTTTTATAATAAAAGTCTTGTGTGAAAATGTTTAAATTTGAGGCTTACGGTAAAAATAGATTCAAACTAATAAAATATTGAGAAGAATAAGAGAAAGTACAGAGTACAGCAGGAAACAAAACAAGAGAAGAAAAATAACACACGTCGACCAAACAACAGAAACAACACACGGGGAAACTTTTAATCTTCAAACAAAGGAAACCACGGGTGGTTCACACTGGAGACCGTTTCCTGTGATGGAGCTCCAGCTCTGCTGTTTGAAGCATTGTCTCCAGGAATGTTGCTATTGTCTGGGACCGCGGAGGCCGGGGTCAAAAGGTCAAAAGGTTATACTCAATCTTTGTCTATAAAACTATGGAGGACGTTGTTTGTTGTTTTTTCAGGCCTCTGAAACAATATGAGTTTCAGAAGTGTAAAAGGTGAACAAACTGTTCATCCTTTAAAGTGAACTTTCCTGAGTTTCAGAAGTGTAAAAGGTGAACAAAACTTTAAAAAAACTTCCTTTCCTTGAGGTAGTTAGAGTAAGAGTATGAGAAAGTACTATTACATGTAATAAACAATATTATTTATATGATATAAAGTCTGTAGAAATGATGCTCCAGGTTTGTGGAAAACTGTTTATAAGAAGAAAAAGTCAAGAGGACAAACAGTGAACGTATATCTGTGTCATCTTTACGTTGTCCATAATGTTGGACTGTGACGACCACAGTATTAACACATTGACATTAAATATTTAAAGTTTTTTACTGAGAAAAAGAGTAGAGATTGAAGACAGGGGAGTGATTTTAGTCCTGAAAGATTTAAAGTGGGATTAAGTTTCATCCCACTGAGTGAGTTCCTCCTAAAAAGAAAAAAACTGAAGACTTCAGTGGATTAAAAAGCACTCGTTTTAATGAACACGGTGTGTGTTGATCAGCGCCACCTGCTGCAGGACGCTCCTTCACCTAATCTAATTCTGTAGGCACTCATTTATTTTCCACCTGATCCCGGTCCATTCATTTTCCATTTGAGCGCCTGCTCCGTTCAGAACCGTCTGGGTTTGTCGTCCACAACAGCCACACACCAGGCGTTCAGAACGCTCCATCACTGCGTTTTGTAGGTTTATCAGCCAGTGATGCAGCACCTCTGGAACTGACTCCACACTCCTCCCTCAGACACTGGATACGCCATTTATTTCTGCAGCAGCAGCGGCAGCTTCTGGAGACCAGTCAGTTTGACTGAGCATTTTAAGAAAGGTCTCTGGTTAATGAAAACTCCATCACGCTGCCGTCAGCTACACAGTTGTTTGGTGGGGGACGGGGGGGGGTAAACACTTGGACTATTTAATAACTATCTCATGCTCCTCACTCACTTTGCAGCCAACCGACCAAAGAGCCTTCTGGTCTACATCAATCCCTACGGCGGGAAGCGGCGAGGGAAGCACATATACGAGCAGAAGGTGGCGCCACTGTTTCAGCACGCCTGCATCTCGACCGACGTGATTGGTGGGTTCCTATCGGAGGCGTTTCCCAAACATTTAAATGAAAAATGCGGCCTCTCACCGCAGAGACATGCATGGATATGATTGGGCTCATAGAGCTATTAATCACATCAGCACCTTAACGGAGGCTGTGATAGTTGATAAGCTCCAGCATCCAAACACATCTATTATTCAATAAGTGCTCAGTCGAGCCACACACACACACACACACACACACACTGTCTGAGCCGCCGACTCTGAGCCTCAGCGGCAGCCGTGAATCGAAGGGGTCGTTTCTGTGATGTTATTGTTGGAACAGATTTACTGATGAAATAGTTTGTTGTTGTTGTTTCGGTGAGGCCCATGGAATAGCTTCACTTCATCCACCAAACATCCAGTTCAGGATGAAAACAAAATACGTTATATTGTAACATTTGGCTACTTTTTAGCTTTACTTTTTTTTAAAAATTATTTCTAGTTAAAAAAAAGTTTCGATTACTTTTCCTAACAGGCAAATGCAGCTTTTTCATTTAACTTTTTTTTAATTTTTTTGGCTAACATTTAGCGCATTTTACTGCATTTCTGCCTAGCTTTAGCTGTTTCTTCTTCTGTCTTTACGTTCAGTTGTTAGTATTCAGGTAATCGTCTGGTATTTTCCTTAGCTAGCTTTATGGTACATTTGAAGTTGGGTAGAATAATGAATATTGTTCAATGTATTTTTGGCAACTAGTTTGACTTTATATAAAAACATAACTTTATTTTTATATAAACTTCCTAACCATTTTATTTTTGGCTAAATTTTAGAAATTATTTTTGCTAAAATCTCCTTGTTGTTGTTGTTTAGAGACTTGTAACTAAGTTTGATCAAACTGTCAACAGTCAATTCTCCGAGATCCTACAACATTAGCAATTTTCACACAACATGCCCTAAAACGGCAGGAGACAGTAGAATTCAAGTGTTACCAAAGTCTCGACTCGAGGTTTCATAAGTTTCACTCCATAAATGTATTTCCTGCAGGAACACTGAAGGCTCCAGTCACAGCAATTTTACCTGCAGGTTCAGATATTGCGGAGGCATCTTGGCCCTGAGCCCTGATGATTTCTGACCCTTCACTAGTCATTTTGTAACTGCATTTCCCATCAGTGGAACAATGCCTCACTTACCCTTTGATTTGTTTCTATAGTTACAGAGCACGCCAATCACGCCAGAGACCACTTAAAAACGGAAGCCAATCTCGACAAATATGACGGGTGAGTACCCAAGCCGCAGCTGCTGCTCTCAGCCTTTTAACAATGGTCCTTGGCTGCCACATGCAGCCGCCTTTCTGTGACTCTTCAGAAACTTGGCAATGAGCTGCATTTCAGCAAGTAAGAAAATATAAATATATTCAATTGTAGCTCAGTTATGATTGAGAAGATGAAGCTGTGTTCGTGTCATAAAGGCTCCTTTGAACATATTACATTTACGTTATCATTTTAAAAAATTACTTTTGATAAAATCACATCTTGTTAACGAGCTATAAACCCTTATGTATATAGCTCGTTAACAAGATGTGATTTTATTCTTAAGGACTTAATTAGAGAAAGCCAAGAATATATGACACTTGATTAAATAAACTTATATAGACATCTAACGCATTTATATATAACTTACTTTCTTTTCATTTCAAGTTTTTTTTGAATGACAACTAAAAACTTTTGTTTTTTTGTTTCTATTTTTATTTATGCCTAGAATTTTACAAAAAATTATAATAATAATTCAAAATAACTAAATTATTTTAATCACACCACTAACAACGATGTACACACTCCAGCCTGCTAGGTGGCGGTAGTGCAACCAACAACTGCTTCCTAGTGAGAAGAACAGACATCAGAATGTGAACTTTATGTTGATTATCTAGGTTAAAACAAATTCTTTTGAATGTGATATATTGCAAATCGATAATTACAAAACTTCAGAAATACCTAAGCGAATTGTCGCCGAGCTGAAGAATGTGCTAATTACGGTATAAGCTGCTTTTGCCCATAATCCCTGGAACCCGTGAGTGAGTACGAGCCGCAGCGTAGTCTCAGTCACATGAGCCACATTATATCGCTGAAGCACAGCAGGTGAACATGTGTCCTGCTCACATCTCCTCAGAAGCTGCACGGGAGTAAAACTCTGCTAATAATTTAACACGACAAGCGTCAGAAACATAAAAAGAGCTTCTGTTCTTCATCAAATATTCTGTACTACAGGAACGGACTGGAGTCCATCCTGGCCTCAACGTTGCACCTCGTACATTTTACATGAATACTTCTGTAATATTTGTGAATATTTGCTAAAGCATTAGCGTTAGCTTTTACCGTTTAAAAGCTAACTCTTTCTGCTGAGGTCTGAGTTGTCATTTGGCACCTCGTACATTTTACATGAATACTTATATATCTAATATTTGTGAGGTATACTTCACGACGACGTGATGCTAAAGCAGCGTTAGCTTTTATCGTTTCTGCTGAGGTCTGAGTTGTCATTTATCGATGTCACTGCTTCGCCCAGGGTTGTGTGTGTGGGCGGGGATGGGATGTTCAGTGAGATCCTACACGGGTTGGCCACAAGAACCCAGACTGACCACGGCGTGGACCAGAACCAGCAGGACGCCGAGTTAGTGCCGTGCTCTCTGCGTATTGGAATCATCCCTGCAGGTGAGCAGTTGCAATTGCACCATGTGTGACACAGAAGGGACTTTTTAAAAATCTCTGAATTGTTTTTTTTATTATTTGTTTTTTATTACGCATTTTCTACTTGGGATCGTTGATAAAAACCTGCGGCTTGAAACATTATCGATGATCGAATCTACCACTAATATTTAAAAGTTCAGATTTAATGTGCTTCAAAGGTCCGAGTTAATGAACAGTATTAAGGGTTCTGTTGAAGCCTGCAGTGACCGCCGACCCACCCCGACCCCGACCCACTCCACCCACCCCTGCATTAAAAATTGGCCTTATTGAAAGTCTAATTGATTCCTAGAACCTGTAGCCCTGTTAACTCCAAATGGTTGAGTTACCGAGGAGCGTCACTATGACAACAGGGCAGGAGGTCACACCGGAGGCCCAGGCGAGTCAGTGATTCAAAGATCCACAAATGGGAATGAGCTGGGTGACATTTCGAAATCACTGTAATTTACACGAGGGTAGGAACACACTGCGTGGCGATCAGTCCGGCGCTAGCGGCGGCACAGCTGGTTGGTAGCAGAGGAGGAATCTAATTACAGCTGGGGGTTTGAATCTGAGGATTAACTCTGTTTAATTATCTACGTCTTCCAAAAGCAGGAAGATGGAATTGTTGGGCTGCAGCACGCTCTGATGTGTGAATACTCTCCGTTCAGCTGTACTGCGCTCTTATATCTTATCATGGTACTTCAGCTCAGATACTTGAAGGTGTCAGTGGAATCTCACGGCCGCCACCGCCGCCGCTTTAAAAGCTCTCTCTATTCTCCAACACCGTTCTGGAGAGGTTTAAAAAGACCTCTGAGTGCTAATTTAATACGAGTACTTCAGTGGCTGCAGTATGTGTAGTACTGAAGTACTGAAGGTGCTTCAGTTCACTGACTGATGTGTGAATGGAACAAATGCCTTTAACTCTTAAAGTATTTCTTTGTTGATGAACAAAGGCACCATTTAAAGAAAAGGTCCTTGAAGTCACTCAGTGTAAAAGAAGGCGAGTGTTTTAGATACTACATTAAATATATATGGTAACCATCACAGAGACAAAAAGATATATTTATCTGATAATAAGAACTGACTCAAAAAACTAAACAACAAATGTCACAGGGCAATTCCTAACAAAGGAAGTTGTTAAGTTTTCAAACTTAAGTTGGGGATAATTAGCCTAATATATACAGCTGAATACATGTACACATACATATTTGTAAACAGGTTTTCTACGACCAAGAAAGTGTTAGAGCTGATACTAAGAATACAAAGAATGTCTATATTTATATACACATACACATATATTAAATACATACATAAATACATCTATGTATGTATATATATTTATATACTGTATGTATGTATGGACATTTTGTGATATATGTATATACATACATATATATTTATATATATATATGTATTTACATATATTTATACATATATACATATATATCTCTATATATATATGCATACATATATTTATATATATACAGTATATATATACATATATATGTTTGGCCATATTGAGATCATTGTATTTTTTTTTTTTTTTGCCCCAGTAAAATATATTGACTCAAGTATATTAAATCTATTTAAACTAAAAATCCTGAATCCCGAATGGCGTCTGATCCTCCACTATTACCGTATGAGAGAGTGTGCGAGTGGGTAAATGAGACATACTTTGTAAAGTGAGTGGTCGATAGACTGGAAGAAGCGCCATAACTGCAGTCCATTTATCCTCTAACACTTTATTCTGCCGCCCGTCCTCGGAGCATTTCTCCTCCCACTCTGGCCTGAAACAATCAGGGAGTCGTTGCTTTAATAATCACTCATTTTTATTATTTTATGTGCAGCTCATTCATCTCCTTTGATTGTTAAACAGCTTGCAACTTTCTTATTAAAGTCCCAGCCATCCGTGAATTAATGACGATAACGTGAAGCGGCTCCAAACATTCTTGGCGAGCATTTATTTGTCTGAAAAGCAGCAATACTGGTGCCGTGTGGCCTGCTGTGCAGCCATTAACTTTGTGTTCCCATCTCCTCGTCATTAGGGCACAACTTTTACCAGTTCAATTTTAATTTCAATTTCTTCTGTATAATCAATCAAAGACCCGTGAAGTCTTTTATCACGTCTCCACACAACACAGGGTTTCTGCTGAGAGTAGCAACCCTCTGGGTGGCGCTCAGATTATCAGTAAACAAAGTATCAGATTGTTATTTCATATCTTTAACATCTCAGGTTTATTATTCTGCTATCTCTACCGACGTTGGTTTTCTTTTGGTAACGGCGCTGTTGGCCTTATCAACGAGTGAACTGTGACAATATCATGTTTTGAACGTTCATGACGCCATGTCATGTTTATAAGATTGGCACAGGTTCACAGCCCCGTCACACTGTTTACAAATCGAAACCGACTTCAGAAGAAGAATTCGTTTACATTTTTTGGGGCATCATGAAGTATGAAATTTCCAGCCCAGAACAAACTTTAAATTTGCTGTGAGAAAACAAACCATTTTTTGGTTCCTGCCTTCACTCTCAAGAACTCTACCCATCGAGTCCCCCTTCAGACAATTCATGGTATTACAAGAAGATTTCTGCCCAACATTTCGGTAATCTTGGGGTGAAAACAGATTTAGAAAAATATTTGTAGATATTGATTTATGAAAGTATACTAAACTAAATATTTTAGTTATTATTTTTTTAGAGCAGTTTTCTGGAGATGTGTCGATTTAATGATACAGTTAAAACCCCGAACACTGGAAAAACGACATGTTTTTTTTCGCGGTGGCTGAACAAACAACAGTGTGTTTGAAGGATCCCCTGGTGTGATTCACTGCGTTGGGTTGATGTCTTTTTATGACACCGTCACAAGTGCAGCCATAAATACATTCATGCACTCAGGAATTACACAGCAGAGGAACCCTCTTCCCGAGCAGCACTAAAAGGCATCCAGACCCTATTGTTGTCCCCGAGATTAAGATCATCTCGCCGCCGGGATGATCTTACTGACGCGACTGTTTGGTGGAAAATGCAGATTAAAAAGTGGAACATCCCCGCTGAGGATACTCCTTGTGACAGCGTACGCTCCCTCCCCTGAATATTCCAACAGGCTACTGTGCTTGAGTAACTTAAGGGGAAATAAAACATTGAACATCTGACGGTCGAACAACGTTGAACATCTGTGTGTGCCACTTTAATCCATTCAAAGTCAGTTGACTTTTACTGCACTGCTTTAGTGGAGTCAAAAAGCATATGCTTCGTCTTTTTTTTTTTTTTTTTTTTTTTTTTTTTCCCCAAAAAAACTTTTTCTGCCCTGTTTTTTGGGGGAAAAAAAACATTTTCTTCTTTTTTTTTTTTTTTTTTTTTTTTTGCTTCCAGCAAAATAGCAGGCGGGCTGTGCTGTTGGGGGAAAGATTTGATTATGAGGCTGTGAGGGGAAAAGGCAAAGGCCACGAAAATGATATTCACCAAAAGTCATGTGAAGATGAGGTTCATCTTCGTACTCATCTGTGTCGGCCACCTGATCTCCCCTGTCAAGACACCTCCAGTCAGATTCATCCCCTCTCTCTCTAAGCTCTGTTTGTTTACAGTAAATAAAAACAATCTAAATGAAATCCCGACGTCTTCTCGTATGTATTTGCTCTGATTGACTTCTTCTTAGGACGAGGAGTCGACAATGATCACAAATCAGAGCACGGTAATGAAGGGAAGCGGCCTTTTCATTAAAAAAAAACAAAAAACAAAAACAATACTGACAACTGCTCAGCGCTCCCTTAACATTACAAACAGCTTTGTAGTCTGTTGCTGCTGCCTAGTAACAGGTCAGATTTATGAGGTGGTCCGGGGTTTGAGACCCCTAGAGTATTTTATTTTTTAATAAACGTTTACTCAAAAAGGATGTAATTTAAAACTGAGTTAAACGTTTACTCAAAAAGGATGTAATTTGAAACTGTTGTACAATTCTCAAATGTTCTTGGGTCCAATTACTCAGGGACTAGTTTTACTCAGCCCTGGGCCATGTGGAACTGGGGTCACCTGAGGTGAGCACTAAAGTGTCAGCTCATCCAAATCACTCTTGAAAATGTTATAACTTATTACTGCTGCTGCGTTACTATGTGGGTTTTTTTTTTCTGACACTTTGAATTCAGATCTGTGGTTTCTCACCTTAACTGTGTCGGTACCAGGTGACCTAACTGACCTCTGTGACCCGTGTGTCTCGTCAAACAGGATCTACAGACTGTATCTGCTTTGCCACCGTGGGGACCAATGATCCAGTTACTTCAGCTTTGCACATCATTGTGGGTCAGTGGACGTCACTGGTTCTGGTCCAATGTTCACTTTTTAATGATAAAAAAAAATGTATCCAAATTCTGTATCTGCTCTGTGTGTGTGTGTGTGTGTCTTTACAGGTGACTCTCAGCCGATGGACGTCTGCTCCGTTCACCACGATGACACCTTTCTCAGTTACTCAGTCTCGTTGCTCGGCTACGGTTTCTATGGAGATGTACAGACTGACAGCGAGAGGAAGCGGTGGCTTGGCCCTGCCAGATACGATCTGTCAGGTATGCCACCATTTTCCAAACTTGAGTGACTGCGGAGACGGCGCCGGCGGTGGCTCGGTGGCCCCGGTGCTTCACGGCGTGCACACCTGCTTCTATTAATGATGGGTAAAAACAGAGTTTATCCCAGAGCTCACTAATCCTGCTCTCAGTCCAGGATTGAGAGGATTAAAGATATAAATCAAGCACACAGCCTCGGGCTCAGGCTCAGGCTCGTCTGTTGGTCTGTTGTGAGGCTCAGTTTTAACAACAACAGCACCAAGATTTTCTTCTAGCAGTGAGGCCAAAACTGTACTCGCTGTCACTGCACTCTGAGGCACCGGAAATAATAAATATGTAAACTGGAGATGAATCAAACCAGGGCTGTCTGTGTGGAGAGGGATTTATTCTAAAAATCTAAATGTGTGACCTTGTTAAAGGAAAGCATAAAATATGTTTAAACAAAAGGAGGCATAATAATTGTATTGGCAAGATTCTGGCGACACGATACAAATCAAGATACAGGGGCAACGATCAGATATACTGCGATACTATAGGCACGATGATGCAGGGGCAACGATCAGATATACTGCGATCTACTGCGATACTATAGGCACAATGATATATTGATGGTTCTTTTAAACCTTAATATCTGAACATCAGTTACTAACACTGGAACAGAGGGATCTACATTTGGAATCACTAGAGAAGAAAGAAAAGAAAAAGAAAATGAACCAACACCAGGAATATTTGGCTGGGAATTAGTGACGTAGCTCTCAGTTTAAAAAAAAAAAAAAAATCCATACAGTGGTCGTCGAAACGAAAAATTCAAATATTTCAGTATATTGGTATTTTCCTACATCCCTGATTTTATTTCATTCAGACTTTATTATTGTAGTAGTTGATTTTACAGTTTTTATCTTCCACAAACCTCCGACCACCTCAGTCTGTCTGCTCCAGGCGTCACCGCCCACAAACACATCGGCCCCGGTCCTTCAAACGTCTACACCGGCTCAATACTGCGTTTAATTCATCGTGTGTGTGTGTGTGTGTGTGTAGGGGCGGGGGGGTACAATAAGAGACTGCCCTGAGACAAATGAGGAAAAAAAAACTAGATCGAATTATAATAATTTTAAGACATCTTTTCTCTCATTTTGTTATTTTACAAATAATACACTGTGTTATACAATTTAAACAAAGTGAGAAAAAAATGTTTTTTTTTTATATTATTTTCTCCTCAGTCTTAAAATACCATCTCAGCATCTGAATGTTTTGTTTGTGGAGGTTTGAAAAATTCTGGTCACACTGCAGTCAGTCACTCCAACTGCAGTCAATTTCCAAAGAAACTCTTGACGTTCACGTTCTGCAAATTAAAACAATCCATCAACTGTACCAAGCTAACATTTTTACTTTTTAGTCTTTTACTTTTTGCATATTTTACTGACTTTTCTCCAAATTTAAATAATTGCAACATTTTAGACTTGTCACAAATAAACTAAACACAAACCTCCACCTGCTGTTATTTTCCTTTCTGTTTCCAGAAATTTACTGAAAAGAAAGTTTTTTACCTTTTATGAATTAACGTTGTATAATCTGAATTAATCGGGGTTATTTATGATGAGGATGAACCAACAGTTTCCCTGTGAAAAATCAGATTATGAATTATTATTAATAGCAGCCTCTGACCTTGACCTGTGGTTGGCTCTGTGTTTATATTCCAGGGGTGAAAACCTTTCTGAACCACAACCACTACGAAGGCACCATCTCCTTCCTCCCTGCAGAGAACCACATGGGGAACCCCAGGGACAAGCTGCTGTGTCGATCAGGGTAAATAAAACACCTGCTGCAGTAACTTTACCAGGTAGAGACTGTGGTTTAAAACCTGCCTCGGCTGGAGTTTGGTTCTCCATGTTGGAGAATAAGTTCTTGAGATTTTGAGCGGTGGATCGAGTGTTTGTGTTCATTCGCAGTTACCTAAAGACGAGATGAAAGAGTTCTTGAGATTTTGAGCGGTGGATCGTGTGTTTGATGAAAGCATTGATTTTGGAGAGATTTTTTTTTTAAAAATTAAAGACTTTTCACTCTCCGATGAAAAGATTTTTTTTTTAAAAATTAACGACTTTTCACTCTTCGGTGAAAAACAACGCAACTGTGCTGCAAACAGGATTTTGCAGGACTGTGTTGAGTGGAGTAGACAAAGTTTTGGGTTTGAGATTGAGGAGTGGACCTGTGTGGGCTTTTAGAGCAGGGCTCACCAACGTGGTGCCCGGGGGCACCTAATAGCCCCTGGACCTGTGTGGGCTTTTAGAGCAGGGGTCACCGGGGGGCACCTAATAGCCCCCCCACACCCCCATGGACTAACTAAGGTGTTCTTAAAATGAGTCAAAAAGCTAGCTAAAAAACTGTACTGTTACTGTGCTTTTTGAATCAGTTCCACCTGCAGTGATATTCAAATGAGTTCAGTGACGATGGTAAGAAGTCGTTATTAATCAAGTAGCTCTCTCTTATTATTATTAAGTGCCGTTGACGTAGCTCTCAGTTTTAAAAAAGGTCTGTGACCCCTGTGTTTTGTTGTGAGTTTTGTCACCGCGACGCTAATGTTTTGACTGCAGAAATAAAGTCACGCTGACGTTTTCAGGTGCAGCGTCTGCCAACGCGGGCCTCCGGTGAAAGAGCAGCAGTGGCAGCTGTCAGAGAAGAAAAAGACTGAAACTGGTAAGAATTTGGGTTTTTAACCTGATGTGTGTCACATGAATCACAACTTTTTTTTTTTCAATTGAACTGACTGATCTGTAGTTCAAACTCTTCCTCTTACGTGACTTTTACTAACCTTCTGATTGAGGAGAAATATTTAAGGATGTAACATTTCCGCAGCGTCGTTAACCCTGAAGTCACAGGGACCAAATCAAATCAGAGCAGATTTCCCTCTTCTCTCTTTTCTAGGGCAGATTATTTACCCCAGGCAGTACGAGTGTGAACCACACCATCTCCTACTTCTTAGGTTTTACACTGATGACGTTCTTTATTTCCCCCCAGTGGAGGATGACAATATTTGATGAGTTGACCGTGAGAAAATGTAAGGCCATTTTTAGTGACACGCTGCTCCGCGAGCCGCCAAACCTCCGAGTCCAAATCTCCATAATCTACTCCTTCATCGGACCAGCTTCAAGTAGGACAATGTCACCGCGTCTCCTCCTCCTCCTCCTGTAGGAGGACGACCGTCCTTTTGACATGGAGCCTCACATTCATGCACTCACTCTCCGTCATCTACCGTCCCTGCAGCTCTGTCAACACACACACACACACACACACACACACGACTGGAGGCAGATGACGTCGTCTAGTCCTGGGTGTGTGTGTGTGTTTTCTCACTAATTAGTGCAGCCATGCAAATTCCAGATTTTCTGTCTTGCTCTGACTATCTGGAACTGCAACGTCCATGGAGTGTGTGTGTGTGTGTGTGTGTGTGTTTTGTGTAAATATGAAAGCGAGCGTAACCTGTTTGTGTGTGATGTGTGACAGACTCCCATAATCAGGTCGAAATTTGGCTCCACCAGCTCTGACAGGGGGTTTGTCTCACACCAGTGCTGCTGTTTGTTTTTCTGATTCTTTTCCCTCTCTCTCTCTCTCTTTCTCTCTCTCTCTCTCTCTCTCTCTGTCCCACACTCTGTTTTTCCTCATTCTTCCTCTCCTGGCGTGGGAAATCTCAGACAACTGCAAAATCAATGAGGCACGAACACACACTCACTCTCTGCAAATGAGCCGCTCTCTCCTCCAAAAGCAAACACTCATTTAGAAACATTCACCAAATAAAGAGCCTGCGGTCCACACTCGGAATTCTGATGGGTTTTTTGTTTTTTTTTTCTTTACGTTTTTTTTTTTTTTTTCATATTGCTTTAATCACTGCTTTCCAATTAAAATATTGTTGCATTCATGTAGCCTCAGTGGGCTTGTTATCGCCCGGTTTGGTTATCACCTCCGCCGGTTTGTTTTTCAAAATAAAAAGGAAAGGTAATGAATCGTTTTGCTTTCTGGGATCACTTAATGTTCCCTCTGGGACGCTGGGGAAAACACAGAGAGATGCTAATTTTGACATCTGTGATCACTTTTAGCAGCTCACTCCAGTGACTATCACACTGGTGACGGGCCCTGCCACTCCCCTGGGTGATACGTCCGTGTCTTTGATAAAGCGTCACTTGTAAACAGCCGCTAATCTCGCAGGAACAGAGCGGCGATTTGTGAAGTGAAGCCGCCGCGTCTGTCGCTCGCGACTCCGAGGCCCCGGGTGCATCCAATCGTGTCGAGATGACTCGGAGTTAACGCCGCCTGTCGTCTGTCTGCGCCGCCTCCTCCTTAGATACAGTCTAAATTATCACTCTCTGCAACAGAAGCTTTAGCACATTTCTTTGTGCATCAAAGTTCCGATCTGAGTCTAAGTCATCAGGGTAAAGCTGCTCTGAGGCGTCCTGCCAAGACATCTGGATCTTAATGGACCCTCATCAGCATCCCTGCTGTAGTGTGACAAGATTGGAACTGAACCCCAGGACTCATCAAACTCCAGCAAAATACACTGTTTATTTTTTCTTACACTAACACACTAAGTCCCCGAAAAACAACACCATCAGCCCACCGACCAATCGTGTGCTCCTTGAGGTAAAAATCCCAAATACAGCAGGTAAAGATTTGCAATTTGAATGTTGATGTAGCGTTGGGGAAAAAACACATTTCAACGCCTCATATACCTCTGTCTGTGTCAGCTGTAAGGGATGAGGAAAGTAGACATTTCAGGTCAGCTGAAGAAACTCAGCAGTGACTTTGTTTTAAGGTAAACTCACTCAGCCACACTACATGAAGTGACTGACAATATTTGGCCAGCGGGCCTTGGGTTTGACACCAGTCCTCACTCTATTTTCTACTGTATGAGAAAATGATCCCTACAGGATTTGTGGTTTCCTTTTGTTCCATCCTCACTTCCTACTGTGTACCACTAGGTGTCACTAGGCGTCTGTGGACAACAGTGGGAGTACGCAGACGCATAGACGAAAAAACAAATTATTTGATTCTGTGTATATAGTTCTCAGCTCACTTCAGTGGGAGTACGTGTGGACAACAGTGGGAGTACGCAGACGTATAGACGAAAAAACATTAAAAAACAAATTTGATTCTATGTGTATATAGTTCTCAGCCCACTTCAGTGGGAGTACACAACTGGACCGTGGCACAGAGGTTGAGAACCCTTTCGTCCTAACCTTCACGTCTGTTTCCAGATGACGGCAGTGGATGGAGCGTGGTGCGAGGAAAGTTCCTCGCCATCAACGCGGCCAGTATGAGCTGCGCCTGCCCACGAAGCCCAAAAGGCCTGTCACCGTCCGCGCACCTGGCCGACGGCACCACTGACCTCATCCTGGTCAGGAGGTGCTCCCGCCTGGACTTCCTCAAACACCTTCTCCGACACACCAACAAAGACGATCAGGTAAGAAGCAACAAGTCGTTGTCGCGATTATTTCAGAACAAAATGAAAACTACAGTCCACCGTACGACGTGGCTCCCATTTTTCAAACGGCAACAACTTTTCAAAAAACAAATCCCGTGGACCCGCCCTCCTCCCTCCTCCTGTCTCTTCCTTCCTCCCATCATTCCCTCAGCGCCAGGGTTTAGTGCTCAGCATCCAGAGTTGCTCAATCTGTGCGCTGATGAATTGAGAGTGCGTTAAGTCTGTGAATGAACTGCCTTGCTGCGCTTGCACCTCCATCTGCTGACTCCGCTCAATTGCCCAACTATGGTTCAATTTAGTTCAAATGCCTCAGCCCCTGTGCCTTCCCACGTATCATAAATAACCTCCACCCCGGTCCAGAGAGGCACCAGTAATCGCTGCATCAGGGATCTGCTGTACGGCAGAAGGGGCTGTTACTAGACTAATGCCCTCTTAGGATAGTGCGCGTATTGCCAGGGGAAGTCTGGTGATTAGTAATTATTACCTCAGGATGGAACACATTTAGAAAGAGAAAAAAAGATCTTGAAAGTATTTTCAGTAGCTGCTGTGGAAAAAAGTACGAAAGAGTAAACGACGCTGTGAGCCAACACTGACATCCGCAGGTGGGATTTGGAGGTTAGAGTTTAAAAGGTAACCAGTCGGTTAGTTATCAGTTCACAGAGGCTCAGTGGCGTTGACTGACTGTGACTGAGGTCTGATTTTTTTTGTTACTCTTTAAGGTCGTAGCTAATTATGGCTTAGTTAAAGCAGATTGAAGCTAATTGACATTTTTATGCTTTAAACAACTCTATAGTTATATACAGTGTTATAATAATACTAAAATTGTACACACTGAGTACTGTGTAGTACATTAACCCTTTCATGCATGACGGTCACTACAGTGGACAGCTATGAAAATGTCATTTTTTATGATAAGAATAGGTTTTGATGGCAGTGTTGCATATAAGCCTCTACAGTGGACGCCTGAGAATCACCCAACGCTGCCATACAGTGGTCAGCCTTTGCAACTGCAGAATAATTGTGTCAACATTCAAAAAGAAAATTTGGTGTATAAAAACAGAACCAAATCAGTTCTTATTTTTATGTCTAAAAACACGTAAAAACACTTAGTAACATTTTCTTTAACTCAGTATATCATGGGTCATGCATCAAAGGGTTAACTGAGTTTTGTGTTGACTGTCACCCTGAGGTACTACATACTGCAGTACATCAAAGGGTTAACTGAGTTTTGTGTTCACTGTCACCCTGAGGTAGTTACTACAGTACATACTGCAGTATTTTTTTAATCTTGCCCGCCAAACTTGTCCAAATTATATTATTGATGTATATTATCAATATACTTTTGCCTTTCCCCTGCAATGCCTGCATTTCCCCAACAGATGGCGTAGCATTTTAGCCTTTATGCATGACTTTTACATATCATTTATCTAGATGCTCCTGACCTGGCCAATCCTGTCAAATTTGGGGACCCACTGTGGCCCCCGCGAGTCAAACTGTTTGGCCACGCCCGATCACAGTGTCAGAACATGTTCTTCATTAAAGACCCAAACAGGAGGAACCTGGTCCAGGTCTATGGTTCCATAGGTTCCATTTAGCATTTTAGCCTTTATTCAGCGTTCTGTTTGGGTTTTTTTTTTTTTTGTTCCTCCTCAGTGGAAGGTTCTAGAAACTGCTGATATAAAACTACAGTCTATGGAATAATGTCAAATATCACAGTAGTCTGGGTCCAGTCCAGCAGAGAGTCCTCTCCTCATTCTTACCCCACACTGCACACTACAGCTCCAGGTCAGAGAGCAGCAGCTGGACGTCGGTGACATTTTCTTCCTGTCACCTTTCTAATGCAATATTGCCACTATTACTATTGTTGGTTGGAAAAGAAAAGAAAAAAAAAGAAAAAAGAAAAAGCAATAGACCATCCACTCCTGCCCAGAGATCCCATATGTCAGTATCCATCATGTTCTGATCAGTGAAAAGTCACGACGCAGTCTCCAGGATGTCTCCGCCGTTCCACTCGCGGCGCACCATAAAGTCGACAAGTGGTCGTATGAGCCGGGGCGAGCGGGACTCTGCATCAAAGTTCACTTAATATCAGCATCAGTGTCCAGTCGAGCAGAGAGAAACAAGGAGTGAGGAGCCACTAAGCGTATTCATGGCCTTGTCAGAAAGCCTTTTAGGCAGAGCGTCCGGCATGAATGCAAAGCGACCGCAGTCATAAAGTGGGTCTGATGTGAAATAAATGACTGTCACTCTGCCCCTTCAGTGGGGGAGGACGGGGGAGAACAGGGGGAGAGAAGGAGAAGAAAAGAAAAAAGAAAGGAGCAGAAAGAGACAAAGTGGCAAAGTGTCTGTGAAGACAGTAGAACCGTTCTGCCACAGGGAGGCAGATGAAAGCAGATTCTGACAAAATGATTTCTTTTCATCTCTGTGTTTTCTTCTTCCCTTCACTCTCCTGTCATTTACCCAGTTTTTTTGTGCATCCCCATTTCACCTGACCCCTTCTGTCGCCCCCCCTTGTGTAAGATTCTTGTGTTTGCTGCACTCTGCTCAATAAATGCTGGGGGAAACACACACACACACACACACACACAATTCCACTTTTCATTACAAAGACAGCAGGTGTCCATGAAATGAAACAATAGACGGAGAATTAAATGTTTACGTCTCTCGTCAGGAGCACGTCAGCTAAAAAAAGACCGACTCCACGTGCCGTGGGTTTTTGTTTGGGTTTTTTTTTTTCCCATCGTCAGAACGATCGTAAGTGTTTTTGCAGAATTGTTCCACTGCCCGTTTTTACTGCTGTTTTATGTGTAAAATTAAATGTTTTATGCGTATTCAGAGACGTTTTAATGATCAGAAAGTTCACGCTGTTTCTGGAGAAAACAAACACAGATTGGTCTGGAAGTTAACGTCCAATGTCTCTGCGTCTCGGTTTAATTTGTCTTTAGATCATTAAACTGAGTGGGGGTCTAACCTCTGCTCCATCTGTACTCACAGCTGTCCCTCCATCCATCCATCCATCCATCCTTCCTTCCTTCCTTCCTTTCTTAATCACTGCATCCGTCTCTGTCTCCTCCTCCTCCCAGTTTGACCACTCGTTTGTGGAGGTGCACCGCGTGAAGAAGTTCCGCTTCCAGCCGTGGCTCCAGGAACCGGGTTCGCTGGAAGACCTGAGCGAGGCGACCAAGAAGACGGGCTTCGCTCCAATCTGCTCCGGTCAAACCCCCTGCAGCTACAGCAAAGCCCAGAGCAGCTGGACCTGTGACGGGGAGATCCTGTGTCACGCTGACATCCAAGTCAGGTAACTGCCCCCAACGTCACCCGGGGGGAGGGGGAGAGGGGTATTCATTTCAAGAAGCTCAGACTCTTTGAATTTAAAATAAAAATACTGTTCGCCAGAGCCAAAATGTTCAGCAAATAATAAATTAGAAAAGTTGACGTCAAGGACTGGGAGTTCGTTATAATCATTTCCTGCAGTGATGGATATTTGGCCGATGAGTTTGACATTTTAACACAGTCATAATTAAACTATTTTTCAGGGTCGTTTTTTTTTTTTTTTTTCAATCACATTTCTCCAGCGCTGGCTCATTTTACAGCATGATGAAGTCTGTGACACCAGCTGTGATTTGGGGTCGAAGGACAGGGAATCTGTCAGTTTAGGAAACAACTCTGGAAAAGGGTTCTAATTCTGAACACGCCGAGATGTGTTTCTCCATCCCTTTAATCCCTTTAAAACCCTTTTAATTTTAAAATTAAAAGGGTAATTTTAAAATTAAAATTTTAAAATTAAAAATTTATAAATACATTTTTATATAAATTTAAATAAATAAATACATTTAAAATTTAATTTTAATTTTAAAATTAAAATTAAAACCCTTTCATTTTTAAACCCTAAATCCACCCCTTTAGGCAGCTCCGCCATTTTAAGTAGCTAGCATGCTAGCATCCTCTAGCTGCATACAGTAGGATGATAACAAGTGTTGGTACTGTTAAAGTACTTGGTACTGGTACTAGTGAACAATTTGGATGGTAGTTTGACTTCTTCTTCTTGCTGAGAAAATAAAAACTTTTTTTTCTCTAACCTTCCCTTCAAATGAATTCAAACTGATTGGTGCCATACATTAATTAGCTTAATTACTGAGCTGATTAAAATGAACAGGTTTAACCTGAACTAATATTGACTTGGCTCTGGAGTCTAATATGTGAACAGCACATAAAGAACTTCTGCTTGTTGCTGTGGAACAGAGAGCAGTATTTGAAATGTCCAACTGAGTCTGATTTGGAGGACCCCTCCTCCTCCCCCTCTCCCCCCC